ACCTCCAGACTGTGATTGCTTTGGAAATATCCTTTAATGTTCATAATGTAAATTATCACCATCAATTATAATTGATAAGCCTTTAAAGTATACATTACCAGTTAAAATTTGTTGTGGATCTTTTTTTGTCTAACTTGGAAATAATGATGCTTTTCTGAAGAAACCTCTAAGACAGGTTTTGAACATTCTCTAAAATTTTACAACTGGATGATGATGTTGGTGGCCCACTTTGTGCTTTAAATTTGCAGTCGGCTATTTTTTCTGCAGATTAAATGAGAGTGAGACTTCTTAGATGAATACTCTAAGCTGGCTCTTGAAAGTTTCAGAGTAATAGTCTATTGTCAGTTGCAATGTTTGGATGAATTTTACAGTAGAATTTTTACTTTCATGACAGAGGGTTTATTTTAATTACTTGAAACATAGGAGTTGGCACTTTCATTGCAGTAACCAACTTCTTATACACTAGATGTGGAGTACCCCAAATTATACGTATCCACGTCACCCTGCCTTGTAGCACAACATCACTTTGTATCCATATTGCACAGCTGTTGACTGGCCACTGGAGTGCAAACATTCTTCAAGGAGAAAATGAATGTTACAAGCATGGAGTGATTAGACAGATCTGTATGAACCAGATGATATGTGGTAATTGCGGTTGAGTTTTCTCATCCATGGAAGGCAAAGGCCCACTGACCCATTCAGAATAACCCCAGGTTCCCCTTCCCCCTCACCCTCTGCACTCCCTGAGTGCATGGCTGCCACCTTTAAATGCAGAGCGGTGGCTCTGTAGCTAAGGATCTGCGCCTGTGGCTGGAAGGTTGAAATCCTGCAGCCAGCAGAGGAATCCTACTCTGTTAAGCCCCTGAGCAAGGCCCTTAACCCCAACTGCTCCAAGGGCGCCGTACAATGGCAGACCCTGCGCTCTGACCTCAGGCTCTCTCCCTATCTGTGTGTCTCATGGAGAGCAAGCTGGGGTATGCGAAAAGATAATTCCTAATGCAAGAAATTGTAAAGGGTTAATAAAGTGATGTTAAATCAATAGAAGCCACTACATTGGTCTCAGGAATATTTATGACACTCTCATTAGTGCTGAACCTCATTCTGCTCTTATTGTCCCTGCCAGCTCAAATCCTGCTGTCTCTGAATACTGTCTGATTTACATGTAAATTGCACTGTTTTTTCCGAAAAGTTTGAGCATCAGCATAAATTTGCTAGAAACTCTTGAGATGTTTTTGCTGAGTGCATTCCCCCCTTTTACTTTCCTTCTGTTTTTGAGAAGAATCATAAATTTTGAAATCTATTTCTCCAAATGAGCTTTACGTGCAGCTATTTAAAATTATTTTTGAAATTATTTCCAATAAAAAAGAAGTCAGAAACCTTATCTGAAACAGAGTTTTCCATCCATCCATTATTAAAAAGGCAATTATTCCCAGAAAGTGTTAAGGCATCCCAGAGCCTGTCCTCAAAGTTTAGTGTACAATGCAGGGCTAAATACTGAATGAGATGTATGTCCATCATAGGGCAGTCATAAACACAAAAGTACTGTATGTAGAGACATTAATTAACCAAGCCAGACAGAAAGAGGCATAGGAAATCAACCAGCACCTAGGGAAAATGCACATTAATGTGGAGAGAACTCTACAGAGAAGTGTCTCTGGTCTAGAATGAACCCTGTGAGCTGTCAGCACTAGTCTTCATACCACATTGCAGAGTTTTCCTTTTCACTTCAAAGAATTCATGGCGTGTGACCAATTGTCTAGCCTGCCTCATTGAATATTCTTGATATGTTTCATATTAGCAAACAGACTTAAAAGAATATCACTAGAGGTTATAATTAGGTTTGTGCTGCTGTCTGTCTCAAGCCTCCAGGTTAGTCCTGCAGTATTATTTCTTGATTTGGAGAATATTAAATTGTGGTTTTCTTTATGTTTAATATTAATAATGTCTTGTATGATCTGTTCTGGCAAAATATAGTAACTCAGGAAATTGTTGCAAGTTGTGAAAGCTATTTGCTAAGAAGGTTGTATATGAAACATACAATGCACATGATGATAATAATTGCTTACACTTATATAGCGCTTTTCTGGACATTCCACTCAAAGCACTTTACAGGTAATGGGGACTCCCCTCCACCACCACCAATGTGCCGCATCCACCTGGATGATATGACGCCAGCCATAGTGCGCCAGAACGCTCACCACACATCAGCTATTAGTGGGGAGGAGAGCAGAGTAATGAAGCCCATTCATAGATGAGGATTATAAGGAGGCCATGATTAGTAAGGGCCAATGGGAAATTCGGCCAGGATGCCGGGGTTACACCTTTTCTTCTCTTTTTGAGAAACTCCCTGGGATTTTTAATGACCACAGAGAGTCAGGACCTCGGTTTTACGTCTCACCCGAAGGACGGCGCCTGTTTACAGTATAGTGTCCCCGTCACCATACTGGGGCATTAGGACCCACAAGACCGCAGGGTGAGCGCCCCCTGCTGGCCCCACTAACACCTCTTCCAGTAGCAACCTTAGTTTTTCTGAGGAGGTCTCTTATCGAGGTACTGGCCAGGCTCACACCTGCTTAGCTTCAGTGGGTTGCCAGTTGTGAGTTGCTGGGTGATATGGCTTATGGCTACAGCAATGCAATGATGCATTAACTGTAGAAGAGAAATATTCCGTTTATAATTTGTACTGTAACTCCAGATAAGAGAGAGATGTGGACACTAAAATAAAAGAAAATGAAGTACAAGGACTGGGGTGAGGGGCTGGGAGGTGTGTGCTACAGTAATCAATAGGTCATGGGTCAGTGAAGTATTGATTGTCCCTTTGGGTTTATCACAGCTGAGGACAGCTGGAAACATGGCCTATTAAATATTCTAAGCAAAAGTGTTACAATTCTTGAATACAGGAAATTAGTTAAATGGAGAAAGCATGTTACTTAAATAGCACTTTTTTGTGACTTAAATGGAGCCATTTGCAACCTGTGTTTAGCACTATAGTGAATCTCTAGGTGGCATTTTGTTGTAATGAATATGCAACTAATAGAGGTGAAAAAAACTGGCAGACATCCTACATCACCCACTAGGATCCAAAGATCAGTATATTTTTGGAACAGTTGTTGAGTGGTGGCTTTGGACGTGGGAGCATGCTGTCAAGTGCTGCAGAGATTTAGCTTTTTTATCGGAGGTGAAAGTACACATTCTCTTGAACTGTTATTCTCTGGTAAAATGTAAAACATTTTTTTGCTCTCCTGCCTGAACTGTACTGTTTCTTTATAGGTCTTAATATTCGTTCTGATTAGATAAGAAAGGAGCAATGGCTTCAGATACAGGTACTGCATAGTCCACAGTGAGACAATAGCAATGGCTTTTGTATAGTGAACATTAGGTATAACAGTGTTTTCGAAAATCTTTATGTCTCATGAAAATCAAACCACTTATGCCTCTCTCTCTTCTCTCATTTTCCTTTTCCCTACCTTTCATTAACCTTCCCTACCTCTTTCTCCCTTACCTTCTCTTGATTACTCTCTCCTAATTTTTCTGCTTCTTTGTGTTTGCTCTCCCTCTGTCTGCTTCTCCCCCTTTGTATCCTTTTCTTCTTACTGCCTCCCTCTCCTCCTCCTCTGCATCACCCTTCCTCTCTCTAGGCCTACCTGCGCTCCATCGATGTTAAGATCCTGCAGCAGCTGGTGGCGGTCCATGAGGGAATCGAGGCCGTGAAGTGGATCCTGGAGGACAAGAGCAACCTGACTAGCCGCTGCAGCAGTCTGACCAGCAGCCAGTACAGCCTGGTGGAGAGCCAAGACACCTCCTGGAGGGGAAGCTGGAACAGCCTGCAGGACCCCAATGACAAGCTGGACAACATCTCCATTGGCAGCTACCTGGACACCCTTGCTGACGAAATGGATGAATATTGCCCCTCCAGCTCGGAGTCTGTGATCTGTGCCACTCCACTGGTCCCCGGTGGCCCTCTCACAATGGAGACACAATGGGATGTGGGGCAGACCGGGGGTCCAAGCTCCCCGCAATTCAGAATGCAGCGCCCAAAAGAGGAGCAACCCTGGACCAAAGCAGTCTTGGAGCGTCCAAAAGCTGCAGAATTCAGGAGAGCTGCCACCACCACTGACCCTGTTCATCTTCAGCAGCAGGCTGTTGGCAACAGCTACCCAGACAAACAAAACACACAGGACAGGCAGGCAGATGGCCTGGAGCAGCCTGGTATAAACTCCACCAGGAGCTGTCTAGCAGAAAAGCTGAGCAAAAGCAGTCCAAAGCTGAAGCCCTATAAGAACGGGAAGATCGATTTAGAAGGGTATAAACTCAACAGCAAAATCCACATGGAGTATGATGCCCACTGGCGCTGGGTGCAGTCCCAGGATGATGTGACTTTCTTATGAGAAATATGCAGATACATGTGCAAGCAGCCATAATAGATCACAAGTAATACCCCTCACACACAGGCAATATCAATTCTGCAGTTTCTGGTATAATTTGAATTTCTGGTTTTGGAAACACACGGTTAGATCTGGTATCCATAATCTTTTTCAATAAATGTAAAATTTTCTAATACAACCTCTAGTAATCAGTTTGTCCTTGGGATGATAAAATTAATGTGAAGGCCTATATAGGTAATTATATATTTGTACACATAACTGTGACATTGTCAGATTTCATGCCTGTGATTCTTCTTGCAGATGGCATTGTCTGCCTTGCACATTAGACATATCAAAATCAAAAGCAATCTGGCGCAGAGACTGGAACGTAGTCTGGCAGCCTCTTTCCCCACATGAAGTATAGATGTAGAAGACAGCTCTAATTGTCCTAAAGCAAAGCACTGACATACATATAGCTGTTTTTTTCTCAAATGAAGGACACCTTTTAAATACAGCCAGGTAAATGGAATACAGTATTTTTTAAAACATGAAAATCAGGGCTGGAAGCATACCACAGCTTCACCTGTTTGTGAGTATTTGCTTAATAAGGAGGTGTTTTCCAAGGAGTTCATCAAGACTGCAAGAGTATTTGGTTTTCCAGGGCATCCTTTTTATATTTTTATGTCTGAATTCATTAGCATAAAGCAAATCTAACTTCTTTAAAAAGAAAAAAAACTGTTTAGCTGTCAATGCATAGTTATTACAAGATTACATTTTTAATCACTCTATGGAGGTACCTGTATAGATAATTAATATGATGTCATGGATGTTTGCTGCAAAGTTAGGTGTAAAGTCAATTTATATATATTTGTTAGCACAGTTTTTCTGCAACCCTGGTCTTGCGAGCCATAGCTGTGCACATTTTATACATCACATTGTAAAAGATTAGAGAGGAATACAGGTATTTTTCCATTTAAAATTAAGATATGAGCCTGAAAAATGTCATGTAAATCAAAAACTCAAGTTAAGAATTAAGTCCCATCATTGTGCATATAAATGGGGGGGGGGGGGGGGGGTGTTCTTGGTTAACTAGTTCTGGGTATCATATCATCAAGATGTAGTAGCATAGTTGTGTTTAAAGTAATTTTAAAACTATTTGTTAATGTTTATCAATTTAATATAAAATGTGAGGAGGAGACCATTGTCATGTGCTCATAGACACATATGAACTGCACATCTTTAGTCCTTTTACTCTGTGAACCTTTTACATGCCTTTTTTATTAACACTGTTTTAATGATAAAGTCTTTGCATTTGCATGTGCATTGAATTTCTATTTTATGATTTTTCCAGATATTGGCTTACTTTTATTTTAGGATTTTATGGATTTTATTAATTTTATTTAAGATTTTATACATTACAGTAGGTACAGACTAAGACGCTGCAGACTTTTTCTGGATTTATTTAGTACTGTAAGTATGAGTTGATTGGAGATGAACATTGGCCAGAAGAAAACTGAGACAAAGACTACCACCTGTCTGTGTGTCACCTGAGCGATGATTTTCATCTCTACACACAGCAGGGTACAGTACATGCAGCTTTTATTGTCACAAACACATCAAACACGTTGCCTGTTGTTGGCTGTGCACAAGTGTGCATGTTACAGTGAGAACCATGCACTTCTAAATTAATAAGTGGTATACATTCTTGAGGTGCATTAAATCAAAAACACACAAATTAAGAATGCCTAAATCAAGAACTACAGTACCTGTATGTAATTATAAGGACTGATTTAGCATATAATACATTACATTACATCATGTAGAGATCATATTGCCTGAAATAATTTGCGGAACTCCAGGATCAGGGTTACAGACCTCTGTTTTAGTGTTATACAAATGTGTGTAAATCATATAAAAGAATTTTGCTTAAAGCCTACAAGGCTGCACATTTGTTGAATTGAATCTTGTGATCCTCTTCAAAGGCCTTGTAAATAATGCATCCTATTTGCAGCCACATATTTCACTTTAAGCCTGTATGTGCCTATGACCTTCCTGAGCAACGTAATCTCTGACTCGGCATGTTTTCTATTTTGATTGTTTTAAGTGCTGATTCACTGTCAAACTGCATTTTATTTTGCAGTGAGGTAGACATTATTGTGTGGTACACTGTTTTAATTCTGTGACTTCTCAAGTCTGCATGCCGAGAAAACATGCTAATTGGAAATGTTTGATTATGTCTAAAATCCCTTTATATGTGTACAGCTGTTCATTACAACAATGTTCATTACAACAATGGGAGAAAAAAAGGTATCTAATTGACTTCCTGGTGATTTGATAGCAAAGGAAGGAAACCTATTTTTCCTTTGATTGGCTTTATTGTCTGGCTTGTCCTGGCAAGTCTCTTGAGTTCTCCTTTTATGACATGCCAAAATTTGTGTTCAGTAAAGTCTTTTATAGTTCATCTGGAACAAAAAATAGAATATCTCTCAGTCCTCAAGGACCAGTGTTCCATTCATTAGTTGTTTAATTGATTCATAGCTTGGAACAAGTGTTCCAAATCATTAAATTATAGGTAATTTAAATTGACATATACTGTAAGGATAACTTGATTGGCATGCTCCAGGAACAAGGTTGGAGGTCATACTGTACCTATGCAATAGAATATTTTTACATGACATCTTGTTTTATATACCAAATTAACATTTACTGTACCACCTGAGATACAGCATCACAACTTTATCTCCAGCCCATTCATCCAGTAAAGAGTGGCACACTACTTGAAATTTCAGATGAGCAAACGACTGAATTTCACATTGCAATAACCCCATGTGAGCCCTTATATTTCTTTGTCAGATTGGTCTTTTAATTTTTTTTAGATCTGGTTAGGAGTCTCAGTTCCCTAACCACTATGCTACTGCTGCTCTTTGTACTCTCCTCTCGAATCTTCAATTAAATGATCCAATTCAACCCGTGCTGCAGCTTTCTGGAAGGAGCCGCAGAGTGCCAACAGACATTAAGACTAGTCCCAGGATTTTAAGCTGAATAGTAAAGCAGGGACTGTCATGAGAAAACAATAAAGTTGAACTATTTCGGGGAAATATCAGTGCCAAAACTGAGCTGCACAAAATCCACTACCTTGCAAAAGTATTCCGACCCCTCCTTATTTTACTTATTTAAAATCTGAGTGCTCAAACTGATGACTTCTAAGAATAAGATATGTTATACTAAATGTCAGCAAAAAACTAAAGAGAAAAAATTAGTTACAATATGTTGATTGCATTAATATTCAGACCCGTAATTTTCTCAATTTGGTGGAAGCAGCTTGGGCAGCAAATACAGCCACAATTCTTTTTGGGTAAATCTCTACCAACATTTTGAGAACCAGCTTTTGTCCAACTTTGCTGGTAGGTTTACTCTTGGGTTGCTTATGGACTGCAAAGCTCAAGTCTTTCCACAGATTTTCTGGAAAATGTAAGACATTCACTCTGCTGTTATTACTCAAGAACTTTCACTTTCAGCTGCAGCTCTTACCCTGTGCTTTGTGTCATATTCCAGCTGGAAGGTGAAATTTCATCCATGCTTTATGCTTTCAACAGAGGCAGGTTTTCTTCTAGCATTTGCCTTTGCTCTATTCATTTTCCTTCAATCCTGACAAGTCCCTGCTGTTGAGAAGCAGCCCATTAACTTAATGCTGCCTTCATTCTTTACGATAGGAATGCACTGTGCTAAGTTTGTGCCATACAGTAAATATTGCTTTGCATATAGACCAAAATCTTCCATTTTTGTATTCTGACTATAAACTGTTTTGCCACGTTATTAGTATCACATAAATGCTTTGCCATTAAATATTGTAGTTCCTTCAAAGTCACTGCTGACTTCATGGTGGCATCCCTGACCAGCTTCCTTCTTTTTGAGTTTTGAGTTTGGAGAAATCTTGGAAGTGTGTATGTGGTACAATGCACCTTCCATTTCCTGATGAATGGAAAATGCTCAGAGGGATTTTTAGAGACTTACTGTAGGTATTTTTCCTACTTTTCTCCTGAGCTGGACATTTCAGTATTTAATTCCTTAAATGTTATAAAAACTCTTTTGTTTTTAGGGTTGAACCTTTGCTCGAAATTCACTACACTACAAGGAACCTCACAGAGACAAGTGTTTTTATTCTGAAATCATGTGCACCACTATTATTGCATACAGACCCAGGCCACTGAACTAATTCTGTGGCTCATTAAGATAATTTTATGCACCTAAATAAATTAACACTTCTGCAACCATAATTTTGAATTTTGTTTCATATTGTCTTTTTACATTATTAACTTTTACTTTTACTAAATTACTTACCCCCTCCTTTATCTTAAAAGATAGAAAAAACAAGGTCTGTTTCAAATTAATAAAATGTGTATCTGCATATAAACAGTCAGTTGATTTTAATTGGTTGTATGAAGCTGAACTTATTTTTTATCTTCAGTTTTCAGCTACCGTGTATGTAATTACTGTAAAAAAAGGTTACTTTCATCTGACTTTAAAGGTTCCTGTTTCTGTTCAAAATTTGGTTGCAGCTTGTATTATTTTTAAGTTTTAAGATTTAACATTGTGTGTCCTTCTTTGTCTTGGGCTTCCTGGCTAACTGATAATTGAAGCTAAAAAAATGCAAACACTTTCTGAATGTTGATGAGGAAGAATCAGAACAGTTTATTTATCCCACAAATGATTGTTAATTGTTCTGCACAATTTGAATTGAACTCTTGGTGTAAGTGAGATTATGTTGCATATGTTTTTGTACCCAATGGATGTACTGTGTAATATATGTGCATTGTGGTACTCAATGTTATTTTTAAAGAAAAATGTTAAAGTTATGGCAGCTGTAAGGTCATAATGCTATAAGGAGTTCAGACTGAGACTGAAATAATTTGATTGCTAATGAAATAAAACAACTGTTCTCTTTTGCAGCTCTTTAGCTGTTTTTTATTTGCTGTTGTGTTGTTTCTGAAAGCAGGGGATGGTAAAAAATACTTGACTTCCTTCCCAGTTTGAGGAAAGTTGTTTTTTTCAATTGTTATGGAAATAGTACATAGGCTTTGCCAAAACTAAATGTTCTTTGGGTTTGGGTTAGAAGAAAAGCCATTGAAACAATCTAAAATGCACTGGACTTGCTGCCAACTAGAGTTTCTTTTTGGCTATAGAATATGGTTGTTTGTAAAGCAATGGTTTGCAGACTGAATATAAAGTATTTTTTGTAATAAAATGTATATCTTATTATGAAGTGTTCAACTGTTCTAAATAATTTGTACATTGTATAAAAACCCTATAGCTTGCTCATGATCATAATTAAAAGAATAACTTAAATGTCATTTTTTCATCTTGTAGTGCTTTCGCACAAGTGATTTATTCCACCTGAAGTACATTATGCCAAAACTGTATATTGTAAATACCCATGTAAAAAATATCAAAATGCTAATGATACCAAAACTAGGTTATGTCTAACATGAATAGATACATAAATTAAAACAGGTTTTAGTTATAATAGCAGTTCCATACTCTTAAACCATAATTGATATGACACACAGTCATTTGAATTAAACATTTGATTCATCTTCTTTGTAAGACACTATGCAAATTTTCCAGAATCAGTTACTCTCTTACATTCAAGAATTAAGTATAACATTAACATCTGTGGTATAAAAATACAGTACAAGCACAAGTCAGGTTTCTAATGCTGAATAAAAGCTGAATGTGAATGCTATAGATGTACATTTTCAAATGAGGGTATTATCTCTCTAGCACTGAATTTCAGCAGCCTTCAGCTCTCCTACACATTCTCTGCGAATTCATTTGGGATACCCTGGCTTCAAGTCAAGTATTTTGATGGGTAGGAGCAAAGAGTGAATCTAAGCCAAAACAACTTTAAAGCCTATTGTATAAAAACAATTTTGGTGAGCCATTTCAAACTTAAAACTTTTTTCTTTGGAGATGTCACAAAACCCAAGACATTTTCCAATGTATATAATAATAACATTTGCTTAAACATACTATATATAATGCTTTTGTGGACACTCCACTCAAAGCACTTTACAGGTAATGGGGACTCTCCTCCACCACCACCAATGTGCAGAATCCACCTGTATGATGCGACAGGAGCCATAATGCGCCAGAACACTCACCTCACATCAGCTATTAGTGGGGGGGAGAGCAGAGTAATGAAATATTAGGAGGCCAATGGAAAATGTGGCCAGGATGCCAGGATTACACCCCTACTCTTTTCGAAAAACACCCTGGGATTTTTAATGTCCACAGAGAGTCAGGACCTCGGTTTTATGTATCATCAGAAGGACGGTGCCTTTTAACAGTATAGTTTCCCTGTCACTATGCTGTGGCATTAGGACCACATAGGCTGCAGGGTGAGCACCCCCTGCTGGCCCCACTAACACCGCTTCCAGCAGCAACCTTAGGTTTTCCCAAGAGGTCTCCCATCCAGGTACTGACCAGGCTCAGACCTGCTTAGCTTCAATGGGTTACTAGTTGTGAGTTGCAGGGTGATATACAGTAGCTGCTACAGTAGCTGATAGTGAGCACTGCTCTAAGAAGTCCCATCTCAGTTTGCTTTCCTGTCTTCCATCCCTTGTTATGAACACACATACAGTACATAGTTTTTAGAAAACCCAGGAACACTACAATACATGCATTCATCCAATGTTTCTGACCTTGACCCAAAAGGGAAGGCCAAAGATACCCAACTTCCTGTATCAGCGTATCTCGGTAGCCAATACAAAAGTCTTGTGTGCTAGAACTCATATCATACCTAAGCAGAAAGGCAAAGGTGTTCCTGGGAACAGTTGGTGTTGCCTGTTTTAGTAGCCTGGTCCACATCACCACAACCAACACCATCTACAGTACTTGCAGAGATTGCTAATGTTGTAAATTCTCCCTGTTGTCTGTGTTGGACTTGACAGAGTGCATCTCACCTAAGCAGGATTAGGTAATTATTGTCATTTGCGCTCTTGCCACAAGCCCGGGTGGGTCTCCCTTTCTTTGTCTGGAGTTATGGAGGAACAGTATTCAGGTCCAGCTGTTGGACTACTCAGGAGTTTGTGATGAAATTCATCTGCTTGTTCCAAAATAACATTTTGCCTATCGAGCCTGTGAGTCCCACTGTACAGTATATTCGATCACTTTATTAGTACTTGTATCATGATTTAAATTGTAATTAAGTAGGTTGGCTGCAAAAAATATTTTCATGGTAGTGGTGGTAAGGGAAAATCTTCATAGCATTAAGGAATCTAAGCCCAATATTATATTCCACCCAACAGAAGTAAAGGCCTGATTCAGTGATGACTTCAGCATACTTTTGTCATAAGCTGAAACGCAGTGAGTGTGAGCCAACTAGAAACCTTAGATGGTCAAATTGACAGTTCAATTGCAGCTCCTTAAGAATTTCGAAACAACTTGAAAACTTTTAAATAAATAGAGATGCAATGACAGGCAACTCGTTACTGGAAATAACCACTTATGGGACTGAACGTTTGAACACCACATACAGTAGGACAGTACAGCATTTGTTGCTGGAAAAAAGTTAACCAAAACCGTGTTTCTGAAAAAGAAGTATAATACCAAATCTCGGTTTAAACTAACGAGTGCAGTAATCTATGAAAATTAAATGTTATCACAGAAAGCTTTCTAGATTTTGTCCAGTGCTGAACAGATACCCATTGTGGACTGAGTTTATAAATGGTAATCAAGCAGAAGGCTTTACTGTAATCCATTTTTGAAAAGTAACAGTTGAATTGCTGTCTTACACTTCTCTGTTACTGAGAGCATTTCTATTTCAACTGCTAATCGAGCAGACTGCATTTGCCATCATCATCTTGAGCCTGAGAAATGTAATTGATAAAAAACAAAGGTCTTAGTCTCCAGCTGTGCTTGTTTCCCTCAGTCTTGTGTAATATACAGTGAAATGAGCACCCCATTGACAGAGTTTACACAGCTGGATTTCTGGTCATTGATTCCCCTGTTTATTAAATATAAGTAGACTTTAAACATCTCATTGTGGATTAAAGTGTGCATGATTCATTTCTTAAAATCTGTCTTCAACATTTAATGACCAATGCTAAACCTTACTTTTATTTTTATTAATATTAATATGCACATTAAGTCTCTCCTCCCCCCCCTTCTTCTTTTTCCCTTTATTTTTATTTTTCTTGTCTTTCCTCATTTCAATTTTTTGAAGTGTGATTGCTGTTGTTTTTTTCTGTTTGACCTTCAATTAGCTGTTTTTTTCCTGAGAAAGTTCCTTTATGTTGCTCCAGCTGTGCTTTCTTGTAGGAGGCAGTTCTGCTCCAGTCGTGAGTGTGTGGGAGTGGAGTGAGCCTTGCACAGGGCTGTGAATGATTATCCAGTCTGCAACATTGTGACCCTCTATGAGTCATCCTCAGAATAATAACCACTCAACGCAGATACTGTACATTGTTTCCTTGCTCTAGAGACATCTGTATACTACAGTAGGAATCTCTATTTTAACCTTTATTTAACCAGATAACTAATTAAGATAATAGTTAAGGATTTACAATGAGCTAAAAGACTTTAAAAAGACTAAAAGACTGTACAACACTGAATCAAAATAAGACAAAGTAATGAGAAAAGTTTTTTGTAGGCAATTAAATCTTCTAAATTCACCTTATAATTAGTTTAAAGTGAGTCTCATATATTGTGAATTTAACTTCCTCTTACTACTTAATATACACTAAATGAGCATCTATACTCAATAATTAATCAACAGGAATATTTAACAAATGGCAAGGAAGATAAGAAGAGCAAGCAGTCACTTTTTGATATGGATTTGAATTTGCCTCCAGCCTTTACTGGAAGACAAGGCCAAGAGTGTCAGAGATGTAAAAAAGGACAAACCGTGGAATGGCAAGAGACCAAAAATAGACCCTATGCGTAGTGGCAAGACAGGGATTTGCCTGGGCTCAGCTGTTCAGGAAATGCCATATAGAAACCTATGCCCTCAGGCCATGGACAGGAGTGACCTGGTGCTAGGCAGATCTCAGGACATCTAAACCTCAGTGCTGAATGAGGAGCAGACCAGAAGCAGGAAGTAAATAGGCTACACAACAAGACACACCAGAAAGACATGAATAATCACAGGGAACTAGGAACAGGAAAGAAGTAAAGCACCCTCTAGGTGTACCGGGCGTGACAAAAAGCCTTGCATTGCTTTTATAACTTTTAAACAGTAACTCAAATGGGTTCCCTTGATGGAACAATATTGTCGTTTTCTGCGACAAACGCATTATTATTGCGGTAATCCTAGCATGCATGTTAACTTGAGTTTTGTTTTGAAATTCTCTGTTCATTCATGGTACAAAAACAAAGTAGAAGCATGTGTTGAGGAAGGCAGTGGTGACTCTTAATCTACAGGCTTATGCACAACATGAACAGGTCCACAAAGATGCCCTTAAGGCAGCCAAATACTCTTTTTATTCCAATTTTATTAATGTGAGTCACACTAGTTCCCCTCTCCGTTATCAGTGTTGGTACCAGCTAATAATTCTGTTTCTCCACCCTTGGCAGAAAAATGTAACACATTCTTGTATTTCTTTCACAACTATATTCACAATTTCAATAATCAGTGGATGCTGCCTTTGTAACTGAACTGGTAACTAAAATGAGAACTACTATCTGGATCATATACCTACTGTATGCCCCTAGTCAAATTAGTTTCTTAACTTTTTGTTCATTTGTTACTTGCATCATCAATTAATCCGCAGTCTTGTTCCTGTAGGCCTAAATGTCTGGTGGGAACTACTGTACATTTTCATCCTGTGTCTAATGAGCTCTTTGAACCTTTTCATTCAAAGTTCAGACTGGACCACATCACAGGGAACAGTCTTTGTTAAGGTAGTTAATGACCTCCTGTTGGTTTCTGACTCCAGGTCACTTAATATTCTTCTCTTGCCTTTTTCTCTCCAAAAGTCCAGCTTTTGATGCTGTTAATCATAGGAAGCTACAGTATCATATTACTTAAGGATGGGTGGTATTGTGTATAACAGACATACTTAAAATTAAAGCAATTTTTAAAAGAAGTCTAATTGCTACTGTATGCTGCTGGCACTCAGGTTTCTTTGCAGACCACATCAAATACAACTTTCTGCACTTTACAGGAGTCTGTCCGATCTTAAGATATGGATGTAACAGAACATCAGCTTTTCAGAATTGCAAACTTCAGCTTTGTTGTTGATAGTCCTGAAATAAAAGCATCATTTGGTAATGCATACTTCATCTGATGCACATTTTGGACAGATCATGAAGGATAGCTTTCTTATGCATGTGTACCGTTGCTTGGCTAAGATCA